GTATGTGGCTATTTCGCAAGAGCCTCACCTTTTTGAACATTCATATTTCACAAATACTATGATGCATTTTGCCTACTATTTAACAATTTTTGCATCTTCACTACTTTTTATTTATTCATGTTTTGCTTCAACAGAGTCTTTAAGGGCTTCTCTCATTTACTCGATCGCTGGGACAATATGTTCATTCGCCTGACGTTTCGAAATCCGTCGCGGATTCATCTTCAGAGACATAATCACAGAACAGTAGCAGAAACAGTTTGTGTGTGCACAAGGTTCCACCGTAAAATTTAAACGTACAGAAAAAATCGATAAATGCCCTGAGTGTCCCAGCGATCGAGTCATCTTCTACTTCTCAATTACTTCCTGGGACTCGTATGTTCGCTTGTATTAGGACTGAGTCCTAACTACCAATGCAGATGTCTTGTATGGTACGACAGCAAAAAATTCCCTAATAACTAGACTGTTTCCAAATAGTCAGATACGAATTGCGATTTATTTAAAACAGTATATTGCAGTTTTCATCGAGTACGCTAGGCTGTCAACAAAAAACCCTGCCCTCTAGACTTTGGTTACACTTCAATATGAAAGTGCAATGTGATTAAACTTGCATACGACCTCTTGTGCGTAAAGTTGAGGAAATACCACGGTGTGCTGGGTAGTAAAGGTCTGGAAGACACGTTTGGGAGACCTACATTTACAGGGTTAAATGCGAGGAAAAAATGAAGCAAGATCCCACGGTATTAAAAGTTTCCTCAATTGATAAAATCCGCAGCAGAGAGAACAGATTACTTCTAGTCTGACTTACGACAGTGTCCATCGGCAGAGGTCGCCATTTTGTTTTTGGACGCTGTTGGACATCAATAACTTGGCCAAATGGATTCTATAAAGAGATGGTCGGTACGACGAAACGCTTTTACCTCTAGAAGATGCTGATGATAGGCGGAGCAGCAGTCATGGTCAAACAGGCGACCTCTGAAAGTAAATGATGAATAATGAAAGCCCTGACTGCCTTACCGCTTCCAAGTGAAACTTGTTTGCGAGTTTGCTCGGTCCAAGTGTGCTGAAGTAAAAGGACGAAATTCAGAGTTATTAGCGGTATATTTAATTAATCCATTCGAAAATACAAATGTAAAACAGGAGAATACATATCTTACCCACAATTTTCCAAAAGGGCTCAGGAACGAAATTTTCTACCTCACGAAATCGTTCGACCACAAAACCCAGCGTGGGAAATTGGCACGAACCATAGGATATCAACTGCTCTGCCAGAGCGCGAGGAAATACACGTTGAAGTCGGAGAGTCTGGAATCGTGTAAAGGCAGCACCAATGCGAAGATCAAGCTCTTGGCGAGTGTCTACAGCAAGGCTACTCTTCTCATCCATCGCCGTCAAGTTTTTTATGGCCTGGTGGACTGCATGTGGAGTTATTTCTGAGAACCTAGCGCGGGAGACGAGGATCGAGGGTTTTACTTCTTGACATACGCCGACGATCTCCATGCCGATATTTTCTCCCTCGCGATCGCAATCCGTCCAAATAATGAGTTTACTGCAGTTGCGAACCTCACGTTGTAATGTGCGCTAGGTACAGACGGACAAGGACATGGGGCGTTCAACATTCAAATTCATTACCAATGCAGAAAAGGTAGTTGTGGCTGACAACGGGCATATTTTGGCGCATAAAACTGGATGAGGAGAGGTTTACTTGATAGAAAATTCAGATGGCGGCCGAGAAGTTTACTGGGACTTGGTCTTATAATATAATAAGTAGTCTTTTCAGGAAGAACAGTTTCCATTTAGAAGCACCTTCGTCTAAAACAGTTTAATTAATCAAACCTAAAGGTTTAAGTCGGAAGCATGAATAATTTCACTTGCCTTTACAGCACCTATTTAATCGAAAACAGACACGAACCAGCTAATTGGCTTTCCAGACTTAAAAAGCACTACGTGAGGCCGAAGGCAGGCAGTACTTGGTTAATTTAAGATGACCGCAGAGTTTTACCAGGGATTTCATATTGGTGTCCACTAGTTCAACCTATATGTCCCTGTGGACAACCCGCATATCGTGTCTTTCGGTTTTTGGCCCGATTGTTCTCAAACGAATTCTGCCACTCACTCGGAGCTTATTTGCTCAATGGATCGGTGTGCGTCCAATCACGCACGGAAAAATATTCGAAACTTAGTGACAACACAAGGCGGCGAGATTTTCACTGGGGTGCACAGTCAAGTCAAGTGAAGTCAAATTTATTAAAGGAAATATAGGCAAACGCCTT